TTTTTAATGGAATTGTCTGAAAATCCACACAAGTAGTTTCTTGTGGGTACTACCTCGGCAGAGAACTATCTATATAGGTCCACGATATCGTATAGCTCCCATATAACGGCACCTCCCGATATTCGGTATTTGGATGATTTTAGCAACATTTTTCAATGGAATTGTCTGAAATTCTGCAAAAGGTGTCCCTTGTGGGCATTTTACCCCCTCAAAAAGAATTGTCTATATAGGTCCACAATATCGTATATCCCCAATATAACTGTACCCCCCGATATTCGGTATTTTGATGATTTTACCCACATGTTTCATCGGAATTGTCCCCTAGAAGAGAATTGTCTATATAGGTTCACGATATCGTATAGCCCCCATATATCGGCACCTCCCGATATTCGGCATTTTGATGATTTTTGCAACATTTTTAAATCGAATTCTTTGAAAATTCACACAATGAGTTCTTTGTGAATACTTTGTGCCTGGAAGAGAATTATCTATATAGGTTCACGATATCTCATATCCCCCATACATGAATACCCCCAATATTCGGTATTTTGACGATTTTAGTCACATTTTCAACGGTATTGTCTGAAAATTCACTCAAGGATTTCCTTGTGAGTACTTTATACCCTAGAAGATAATTGTCTATATAGGTCCACAATATCGTACATCCCCCATATATCGGCACCTTCCGATATTCGGTATTTTTTAGTTTTTAACAGAATTTTTAATGGATTTTATTTTTTTGAAAATTTTCTAATTCGTCCCAAATGGTGGAGGGTATTCAAAGTTCGGCTCGGCTGAACTTACTGCTTTTTTACTTGTTTTTTGGAAATTCATACTAGAATGATACGAAAAGTGTTAAAAAATACTAAATATGTTACTCTTTGCATTTGAGAAAAGAAAAGTACTGTGAACGGTTAGAGATAAAAACTTTAAATTTGGAATGGGAATCGAGGTTGGGGAGTAGAGTCGACGTGTGTGTACTCATGTATACAAGAAGTACTACAATTTGAATTTGGAGTAACGGATGGAGATGGAATCCTGAGATTTGGAATTAACATTACTGGCAGAATGCAGAATTGGGATATGGAGAAAGTTTTCGAAATTCGTACTTATGTGCACAAAAAGTACTAAATGGTACTAGATTTGGCACAATTTCGATTGGGATGAACAGAATTCTGAAATTTAGAAGTAAGATTTCTATTGCGTTCTAAGACTGAGGGGTAATTAATTTTTGAAATTTGTACTTATGTGTACTAAAAGTTCTAAATTTGGTACAATTTGGATTTAGGTAATCCGATAGAGCTGGAATCCTGAAATTTGGAATGAAGATTATGTAGGAAGTTTTGGAAATTCGTACTTATGATACTAAATTTGATACAATCTGATATTGGGTTTTCACCCATCGTGCTTAAAATCTGAAATTTTTTTGAGGTGGTTTGTTACCGGGTGAAGGGATGGAGATAACATTCTGAAATTTGATATTTAGATTACTTATGGTATCTGTGTTTGAGTTATGGCGGTGGTTCGAAAATGAGTCCTTTATTTGTACCAAAATTAATAAATGGTAATAAATTTCGTACTGGGTGAAAGAATATAATCGGAATCCTCAGCTTTGATATCAAGGACTCTGTTGGTATCTGAAATTGAAATATTATATTGCGATAACTGTTGATGTATCTCAAATGAATTAAAATTGATTCAGAGTAGTTCCTTTCGGTTTCAAATTATAACTCCTTTAAAGCCATAATAGGCATTCAAAAAACGATAATAGTTTGTATGATCTTTACCTTAATTGTTTTAAATTAAATTTATAACTGAAAAATTTGTAAAAATACTACAAAGATCGATACAACCTAATCTTTACATGTGCGACCAAAGAAAAACGCAGTCCTATGCCGACGAATGGTTTTAGCCTAAACTCATTTATTTAGTTCCAGACAAATAATAACAGTGTTGAGTTATTCAAATCGAAGTACTTTCTTGGCGAAACAAATGTAATGGTGACAACAGCATAAAAACACACTCTGCTGCGACGTCACTATATTTTCTGTGTGCACCATTTGTGTTGTATGCTATGAGCCATGCAGATATTAGGGTGATCCGGTGGCTACAACTTTTATTTGCGAAATTTACTCTGTTGTTGTTGCAGTAACATATGTTTGTAAGTCGGCTGCTTTGATGGGCTGGTGCCAAAGATCTTCTGGTGCGAATGGTGTAGGTTAAATTAGCTTAAAGGTTGCGATGTTGTTGTGAGGGATAGGGAAACATAAAAGAGAAAGGAATAACAATAGGCAGATTTAGCAGGGAAATTAAAAATATGCAGCGTATCACTCGCTAGGCGGACGTTCTGCAAATCTTTATGAATCTATGCTTAATAAGAATTGTGACTACTAAACCATCATGAACTTAATTGAGACAAAACTCCTCTGGTTTATCTAGGCAACCGACGCTCTTCAGTTGCATTGAATAGGGGGTGAAGATGGCATTCATACTGTAATGGTTGACTGCATCGGCGATTGCATCAGTGTTTGGATGACTCAAACGGTAAAACCCAAGTTAGTACTGCAACGAAAGCTTATATTAATGCTGATGTACGGGATGGACCTTTGCCTCCTCATGTAGATAGTCAGTCCACTGGTGTCATGGCAAGGCAACCTTTTGTAGTTCTTATGACAGCATTCTGAATATTTTCCACTCGCGTTATAAGAGGTCAACAAGGTCTTCTTTTCCGCACCAGCGCTGCCGCCTGGCGCCTTGAGGACCTTGTTCTCTCGTTTCAATCTATCGCGCTGATGACTGAAATATGTTGTCGAATATGACACTAGGGAGACCGAGATAGTTTGTGGTCGGAAATTAATGTTCCTCCACCAGCACCATTCATTTGTATTCCCATCTCCGGAAAGGAAGAGGTTGAACATTTCCGGAGATATCACCCAACCTTTGGGAACTCCATGTTGTACACTACGGAGCTTGGACTTTTTTATTTCGGATTTGCATGTACAATTTGGGTCCACACATATAGTTGATTATTCCAGGTTTAAAACTTGACTTGGAGGGTTGACCTCTGATATATCTGTTCTGGTTGAGTCCTCGACTAACATGTGTGGATATGGCACCCAATGCTCCCTGTTTCCCATATACACTCTATGTATGGGTCACTGGAGACTACCTCAAGCGAGATAGGCCTATCCTGAAAATGATAAATCGGAATGCTGGTCCGAATAGTTTACTTCTTGTGCTTTCTTTTAAAAATGGGGTGTACCCATAAATATTCAGATTAACTTTAGTTTCTTTACACCTCTGCAGGAGTCATAAGATCCAATATCTCATCTATTTTACCTTGGAGTCCGTTGTAATTTCAAAATCGAATTTGTGCAAGTGTAACGTTAAATGAAACAAGTAAAAAAGCAGTAATTTCCGCTAGGCCGAACTTTGAATACCCTCCACAATCTGGAAGCAAATTTACAAATTAAAAAAAAATCCGTTAAAAAATACTGCTAAATCATAAAAATACCGAATAGGGAAGTTTAGGTTGAACCTGTGAATGCAATTTTCGTCATAGGCCATTACGATATTTAAATACGAAACTTGATACAATTCCGGTGAATAATGTCGCTAAAATCATAAAAATACCGAATATCTGAAGGTAGAGTTTTATGGGGGCTATACCAAGACCTGGACCTGCATATGAAATTTTTCGTTCACAGGCTGTAGCATCCATTACGAACTTAAAATTCAAAATTTGAAACAATTCCCTTGAATGAAGTCGTTAAAATCATCAAAATACCAAATATAGGGAGGTACCGTTATATGGGGGCTATACGAAGACGTGGACCTATATGAACAATTTTCTGTCATAGGATGTAGTACCAATTAAGAACTTCAAATTGCAAATTTGAAACATTTCCGGTAAAAAGTGTGACTCAAATCAATAAAATACCGAATATTTGGAGGTACAGTTTATGTGGGGACTATATCAAAACTTGGACCTACATTGACAGTTCTATGCAAGGATGTTCCTTACATAATAGGAACATATGCTACCAATTTACAGCAAATATGGGATAAAATTGTAACTAAAACGGACAAAAGCCCTTAAATCTGTCGTTACAGTTATTTGAGGGCTATACCAAAACGTGGACCTATATAGCCTATTTTCAATACCAAAAGTCCTTCAGAACACACAAACATCTGAGTAAAATTTTATCAACCTACTTCAATTCGTTCGCTAAGATAGAGCGATCGCCAAATCGACGTTTCAGGTCAATCCTAAACATCGTAGAACTCACGGCTGTTGGATTGGGAAAACTTTGTCCACGCATTTCATTCCACCCTAACATACAAGCACATATGGCTTTTTTGTGGGTGGCTTGTAGCATTGTTTTGTTTAATAGTGGTGAACGTGCATTGTCCTCTAGTGAGTTGTAACAAAAGAATGTGGTACAGTGGTAACGGACGTTGGCCACAAAATTCATTTGGAAAAAATTAGATTAACTATTTCCGTCTGGAAAATAGTTACAAATGCATATAAGAAAAGCTTTCTAATAAGGAATCAATTGGAAGCCGTTCTTTGCCTTCAATGTTTTTTAACACTTGAATCTTGTAAATCTGAAAGGTTCACCAAAGAACCACTGTCCATTACAAATATTGTTTCTATATACGAAAGTTAGTCTGTAGGCATTTTGTGATGTCTGAATACCAAACCATACCTAAATATGTAATAATCGCGATGTCAACGTAATAACAATTTCATTAAATAAATAAATGAAAGTGTATAGACCCATTGTTTATAAAAATGTTTTTGCTTAACGCGACACTTTTGCGTTCGGCAATTAATTGCAAAAACAGAAAAAAAAGAAATATTATCGCACACATGGTGGTCTTGTTTCTGTTTGCACTGCATTTCCTTATTTTTCGTCGTTTTTATAGTTTACACCATTTATGTAATCACAACAATTGTTTTTAATTATTTTATTTATTTATTTGTATTTCGTTTACAGCTTCATTGGCTGGCACCCAAGTAGCCCATCAACTGGTGGTGGCTATACGCCAAAAATGCACCCCCGAGGAAGTTATCAACATCCTAAAAGAATTGCCAAATTCAGGTGAAAATGCCGATCAGGAAATGTCGGAAACCTCGTTTAATCCATTGAAAATCGATGTCTTTGTTCAGACTCTGTTGAATTTGGGCTCGAAATCATTTTCACACAGTTTTGCGGCAATATCGAAATTTCATTTAGTTTTTAAGGTGAGTTTCTTTCATTAAAAATAGTTATTTTTAAAAATATTTTAATGAAAATTCTTTTGGTTTTGCTTTTAGGCCTTGGCAGAATCTGAAGAAGCCCAAATCTGCATACTTCACAATGTTTTCGAATTGTGGCAAAATCATCAACAAATGATGGTTGTCATTATTGATAAGCTGTTGAAGACTCAGATTGTGGACTGTTCGGCAGTAGCCACCTGGATTTTCTCGAAAGAAATGACTGGTGAATTTACAAAAATGTATCTTTGGGAGATATTACATTTGACCATACGGAAAATGAATAAGCATGTTATAAAACTAAGTAAGTATTGGAATTAGATTGTATATTAATTTTATGATAATTTACAGAAGTTTCAATTAGATAGGTAGAATCGAAGGACATGAACATCAAATTTAAAATACTTTGTAGCAATTGCTACATTTTGTATCTGTTATGGGATGGAATTATGCCCTTCTGTTCTACATGTTTTCTACTCAAACTACTCGTCGAAAATGTTGTACTCCTATTTTTAAGTTCAGTGTAAAATTGTATGCCCATATTCTCTTGACCTCCATAATAATGTAGGCTGTCCATATTTTTGTATAGGCCCCATTGAGAGCTTTTTTAATTTAGTTAGAGTTATTAACCAATATTGCTCTAATTCGTAGACTTCCGTTTGGAAATATACTGTGTTGTTATATAAGTTAATTGACCTCGAGGATAATATCAGTATGCAAATTTTCAGGAATAGTCTCCATTTAAGTTGAAGTCAGCCATCAACATAGGTTCTACACACTACATAGTAGTATCACAACAGCATTGCCCGCCATATCCATATATCTTAGTGGGGAGACAACACAGGAACAAGCTTGTTGGACACAGGAACAAGCATGTTAGAACAGTGTTGGTAGCCTTTGACTTGTCATATGTGTCAGTGTGAACAGCTATCTCGCGGAGCTTGTCGACTACTTTCACGCGACAAATATGAAAATATCCCCCAAAAAATCAACGGCCACAGTGTTTACCACATGGTCTGCGGAGATGAGAACAGAATTGAATTTGCAGGTCGAGGGAAATATAATAACAACCGTGAGCCTACACCAAGATCCTAGAGGTCACATTCGACAGCATGTTCAAGTCACAGCTATCAGCGGCAAAATGAAAAGTAAGACTAAGGTCCTCAAGGCGCTAAGGCGATGGCAGTACTTGGCTGGTCAGCTATGTATTCTGCAAAAATAAGTGCTACATACAGTCCTGAGAACTGCGATAGGTTGCCTCATCATGACACCAATGGACCATCTGCATGCTTTCGTTACAGTATCCGCTTGGGTGTTACCGTGTAAGTCGTCCTCACCGTTATATGGTAGACTTCCTCACCCAGGCGAGTCAGGAAGAAACTACTTGATCTATAGAAAATAGTCCAACGATACAAGGGAGGGTGCCTCAAGATCAGGAAGCTCATCCGGAAGGTCTGAATAGCAATCACACTCATGCGTCGGATTCCACCCCAGTCCATTGCAGCTGAAAAACGTAATCTGTATAGACAAACCATGGTAGTTTTAGCCCAACTACGTCCAGGATGGAGCAATGGTCTCTGTTCGTATTTGGCACGAATTGATAAAGATGTGCGGAACGTCAGCCCAGCGTGTGATACAGGCCCGCACAATACACTGCATCTTTTCAATTGCCTGCCTAACTTTCCCAACTCATTCCAGCGGATCTTTGGTTACAGTCCGCGAATGTAGTCGAATTTTTTGAACCTGCAGTTAGAGCCAGACTAGCAGAAATCAAACAAAAGATGTGAAGCTATTACAACAACCATTACAGTTTGAATGCCATCTTTGGATTCCATCCCATCATCCTTTGCAACTGAAGAACGTTAACTGCCTAAACAAATCAGTGTAGTTTTTGTCCTGGATGATGCAAATGTCTCTAATCCTATTGGGTGGGAGCTGACGAAAATGTGTGAAACGACAGCCCAGGGTTATATATGCTGTGTCTCTTTATTGCTCCGCTAAATCTTCAAAACCCACTTCCGATGATCTTTGAAAGAAGCGCATGAAGGTAGCCCAATTTTTCAATTTGGAGTTAGGGGAAGAAACAGATTTGTGGAACTCAATACTCAGCATGTTATTGCTGTTACAACACCAAGTTATTCCTCTTTGAATATTTGGCAAAAAATGTTAAATTTTAAAAATTCGTGGTATTGAGGCTCAAATTGTTTTTACTTTCTTTATAATAAGGATCTAACATTTTTATTCTACTATTGACAATAGCTCACAACTTATTACTTTCTGAATATTTGGATAAAAAATTAAAATACAAAATAATTTAGAAATGTAAAAGAGCTACATCGTAATACAGCTCTAATCGTTTTCATTTTCTGTATGATTAGTATCTAAAAATCATATTCTATTTTGTTTTTATTTTTAGCAATTGAATTGAATGACGCCAAGGAAAAATTATCAAAAGCCGACTCATCATCAAGCGATTCAGAAGATGAGGCAGCACCAAAACGTAAGAAACCCGTAACAACGGTCGACAAGCCGACAGAAGAGGTAAGTGAATTGTAGCGTTCAGGCGAAACAATGCGTATTCAATCTATGTCTGTGATATGATGGTTTCAACCACAACTACTTCTCTGGCCATTAGAAGAGTTTCTTTTACGTTCGCTTTTATTACAGTATAATGCGCATTAAAAGACTAAAGAACACAATTTGGGGGCTATGATAGCATAGTTGTGGTGTTGTTGTTGCTGTACGAATTTAATTATGCAATTAAAGAATTAAACAATATTTGTTTGTAATTTAACAACAGCTAATGGAGTTGTTGTGCTTTTATTCACCACGCTTCGTTTAATGGCATATTTCATAGCACCACCACCAACGTCTTCTTCTTATCTTCACTTAGATTTAGTTTTAGTTTCGTTTAGACACCATGAAACAAAATCTAGATGGAAACAATGCCCATGCCAAGTTTTTACATATTTTCTAAATCTGTTTCAAAACGACAAGAAGAATCAAGCATATTCATTAATCTTATCAAGGTTTTATTTCACTTTAGAAAATATTTAAATATGTTTTTCAATTGCAACTCTACCATAGTGAGAAATCGCATGTTTAAACATGTTTTCTATTACCAACACTGAATGTAACTAATGTAGATGACTCTTATTTTCCAGATGGTTGAACGCATGGAGGAGAAACTGGAAGCTGCAAATGTCGATCAGAAACGTCTGTTTCTCATTGTATTCCAGAGATTCATTATGATTCTCTCAGAACATTTAGTTAGATCGGACACAGATGGACGTGATCCCGATACAGATTGGTATCGCTGGACAATTGGGCGTTTACAACAAGTTTTCCTAATGGTAAGAGTTTAAAGTTTTATTGAAAAAAAACCTTTTAATTAAAAAAATATTCTCCATTTTATCCTTCACAGCATCATGAACAAGTCCAAAAATACAGTAGCACCTTGGAGACCCTTCTGTTCACATCCGATCTGGATTCACACATATTGGATGTGTTCCATCAGTTTGTTGCACTCCGGGCTTAAGCGTTTACAGAATAGCTATACCAGAAACATCATAAGCGGAAACAAGGACATAATTTTTGTGTTTATAACATTTCATTTAATTATATAATAAATGTTTTCAAATTGAAAATATATCACTTGTAATCATAACAATATTTGTATTGTATAAATATAATTGAAACAGTGTAGCGGGAAACCCTCCCCCAATTATGTTAACGAAGTTTAATGAAAAAATAAATTACTTAAACTTAATAAATGGTTTTGTGTTAATGGAGAGTTTTAATAATTATTTTAATTAAAATGTGCTAAAGTTACTTTTAGGTAGAAATATTATTTATAGTGTTTTAATATTTCTCTTTATATATTCGAAACAATATTTGACTCTTCTAAATATTCTAATCGAATAGAAGACAATTTAGGGGTTTTAAGGAGACCTTCCATAGACAAAATAAATTCTAAGTGCCCTGACTAGATAGAGTATTTTAAAAACTCTTTTATGAAACGACGATTTATAAATGAAGGTATACCTTCTAAATTTTTTCTATTGAAGGAAGATTCTTCTATAGATGAAAGATCGCTAAAACACAGCCGATCTTCGGTAAATAGAAGACGGAGGTGTTCTACAAACTGAGGTTCTTGCTCTATAGAAGGAAGACTTTCAAAATATGTTTTTAAAAAGGAAGAACTTTCAAAAAATCTTTAATAGTCCATGGGAGAGCTGATGCAATAAAACAGTCTTGGCTTGTTTGTTCGGGATACCATAGTATTTTGTTGCAAAATGGTCAGGCTTAATCCATTTATTGTTGTTTTTATAAAAACAAAGTTTGTTTATTAGTGGAGAACGATGGTAATGTTTACCAGGCGGTAAGGCAGGGAATACCTAGGTGTCGGAAAGAGCCACCAAACCTCATCAGTTCCCTTGTTTTTTGTCTGTAACTTCAAAAAATATTTTTTAACAGCAAGACCTTTGGAATATCCTCTGTTGTTTATGGAAGAGTTGGAGCTTTTCCATTGTGCATAGAAGAGCTGGAGCTTTTCCATTGTGCATAAAGACCTGGAGCTCTTTTATTGTCCATGGAAGAGCTGATGCTTTTCTGTTGTCACTGAGAAAGTTAGACTAGTTCTGTTGTCTATGAAAAAGCTGGAGCTGTTCCATTGGCCATGAAGACCTGGAGATGGGAGAACCTTTCATTTAGGAGGCCTTCGATTTTCGTCCTTAAAAGGAAAGTTTTCCAAAGATCGCCTATGAAAAGGAGCCTATGTGTAAAAATTTCTTCTGGAATTACGGGTTTATAATCTTCTGGGCTAATACTGCATCAACGCCAAGGTTTATGAAGTCAACTACTTTTATGGGCTGCAGCTAAAAATCCTCTGGATTTGGGTAGGTTAGGCAAATAAAAAAGGTTCAGCGCATTTTGCGAGCATTTCATATCAATTCGCGTCTAATAAGAATTGCAATGGCTGCACTATCCTGAACGAAATTGAGACAAAACTACCCACCCGACGTTCAATGGATGGGGGTGGACTCCGAGGATGGCATTCATATAGTAATGTTTAACTACATCGTCAACTGCGTCAGTATAAATGCTATTCAGGCCTGCCCGAAACGCTTCCTGATCTGGACGCTCTCCCTTGTACGTTTAATATCTCTTTCTAAATCATACAGGTTCTTCCTGACATGCCTGGGTGGAGAAGTGCCGTCCACGAAAGCATATGATTATGCTGACATAAGGGAAGAACCTTCCCCTCCTCATGTTGATGGTCCACTGGTGTCATGAGAAGGCACTCTGTCGCAGTTCTCATACCAGCATTTTGGCAGGTCTCGATATTCTTCTACTGCTCAACACTTACAAATTCGCTGAGCACACTGGGTCCGCATAGCTGACCAAAGACCGGCCTATCGTGTTATAAGAAGTCAACAAGGTCTCCTTGTTCGCATCCCAAGTGGTGCCATCTAGGACCTTGTTCCCATTTTTCATTTTGTCGCAAATAGCTGTGGCTTGCGCGGGCGACTTGATCATGCTGTCTCTAGGATGTTGGAGCAGTTGTAGTCGGTATTGTGTTTCCCTCGACCTACACATTCAGCTTTGTTCTAATATCCTCAGACCATGTGGTGAAGTGTGTGGCCGTTAATTTAGTGGCGAATATTTTCATATTCCTCGCGTGGAAGTATACGGCAAGCTCCGCGTTGTAGGGGTTCAAACTTTCACATACTTCATCAACCACTATGCCATGATCGTACAACCATCCGCCTACGTAACGATCTCTAAGCTGCCTGGCATCCTTGCCTGGCTAGACTAATTTTGGGATTAATAGGGTTGGAAATACTGAGATCTTAGCTCTCATTTGCTAGTCCCGCTGCCTTTGCTAGGAAATTTTGTCCTATTTCGGGTATTCGACCAGCAGGTATATATAGCGAGCGGCTACAGCTTTCACTGTGTCTCGCAAAAACTTTTCTGCTATCGATACATCAGAAGGATTGGACAGACCTATGTAGCGACGTTTAGTGAACTCTCTGAATTCTGGCCAGTGAGCTCTTCCATTGTTAAGAAAAGTGCAGCGTTCAGAGGTTATGAAATCGGCAATCTGCTTAAGGAGACGAAGTTGGGCATCCTAGTTTACAGCGCAGAATGTGTGGCAGTCTGCTCTGCTACCGCTTATCACATCTTGAACATCCACTTCAGATGGAAGATACACCTTATATATTGTTAAATCCATTATAAGTCAAATAATTTAGATGTCGACAAAAATTAGTCTCAATTAGCTTTTTTTGAACATCACCATCTATAACGGCTTTTTACTTTTTAGATCTGGCATCACGAATTCTTTTGCCAGCTTAAATTCCAATATCGGCATCCCTAACAACAGCTGCTATCTAATCAGATTAAACAACGGCGTTGAAATATCAACGGCTTCGTATTCCTATTTTGCAAAGAAAATCTTTTGTTGTTCTCTTATTCGACAAGATAAACAAATAAGAAAACTTTATTTTAATGATAAAAATAGTTTGAATTTGACTGTTCAATTGGCCCAAAAAATGTCCTGCTTTGGCTGCAGTAAAAAATATGGCCTATTTACCAAAGAGGTAGGAAAGACAACTAAGTAAACAATGACTCAGAACAGGATAAAAGTTAATTGATTTCCAATATCTTTATTATTCCCAATTAGTATGGTTGTCCGAATTGTGGTTACTCCTATTGTGCCAAGTGTCTCAAGCGACCAGTGGCTGTTCCCAAACACAACGACAAGGTGATGAATGTCTGTCTAATATGCTTTGATAAGCTATCTAAATTGCAAGCCGCCGAAAAGGTAATCGATGTGGATTCTTTGCCTGGTACAATTGTGACGAAAACCAATCGGGGAAAGACCATCGAGAACAATCTGAATACAGATATTAACAAATTACTTGAGGTCGAGCCATCGGCAGCTTTGACGGGTGAGGTTTTGGCACCAATATCACCCACACAAATGACAACATCTACACATTCCAGTGGTGAAAATTCGGATATAACGGAAAATCTGGATTCGGCAATATTACAACGTTTGAAAAACTTAAAGACCAATGGTGGCCCACAGCAATTGCCTTCGGATGAGGAAATTCGCTCCAGATTGGCGAACTTGAATGGTATACCTTATAAGGACTATTCGAAAAAGGATTTACTTTTGAATGTGGATCAACGTTCAGATCAAGAAAAAATGAATGATTTGTTAAAACAATTTATGGGTGAAGCTCAATTGGATCGGCGTATTGAAAGTGAACGTAATGATGCAATATCAGATATTGAGAGAAGATTAAGAGCATTGCGTGATACACCAGTCGATGGTGCTGCAGCTGCAAGTGGTTTAACGAGACCGGTGGGAGACATATCACCGGATACCAATACTCCGAGTGATAATGAAATCGATGATGAAGCGATACTAAAGGATATTATGCAGAAGGTAAGAATATTTGTGCGCTCGGTACAAAACCCACACCCATAGGTAGACAATTAAGGAACCCAATTTTTTTAAATATTTGTTTTGTTGAAATAAGCTTCTAAAAAAATAAAATCCACCTATGTTTAGAATTGAGTCATATAAGTAGATTTAAGCGTATCTCCCTTATATTTTCAGTATTTGGCTGAAGCCCGTTTACCAGAAGCTCCAAATACATTGGAAAGTGAACTGGCATCCAGTGTCCCGCCACCGCCAGCGGGCACTGAAACCGAAGAATTGCCCTGGTGCAATATTTGTAATGAAGATGCCGTTATTCGTTGCCTAGGCTGTGAAGGTGAACTTTTCTGTGCCACCTGTTTTCGAGAATGCCACGATGACGATGAAGAATATCGCAGTCATGTCAAGGAACCCTACAGTGCACCGCCCAAATTCAAAGAAGACCACTTCTAGGACCAGCTTTGTTATTTCTTTATTATTTATATTCTAATAGACATATTTTGATATTATATATTTATAATCAATATGCTTATTGATTTTACTTTTTTTTGTTATAAAAACTTAACAATTATCATTAATTTAATGTCCAAATAAAAGGATTTAAGGCAATACACATAGGAAAAAACGAACAATTTATAAAAAAATATTTGAATTTCAAATAAAAAACTTTTTGCTCCAATTAAGCTACACGGAAGCATAATATTTAAAAATATTTATATAATTGCTAAGGTCAAAAACATTTCCTCTAAGCGGGGAAAAACACATATAGTTCCTACTATGTTCTATTTGATCTTTACTTAGTCATAACAAATTATACAACTTGATAATAGTTGTAATATCTTGTATTACAATTTGCTAATACATTCTAACAAGTTCAGCACTTTTTCACTTACAAAAATTGGTCAGTTTTAGTTAGTTTCGGTTTTGTGGCGTCATATTTTGTATCAAAATAATATTCAGTTACCAAAAAATATATATGTATGTCACTTCTGCTTTTCATCTTTGGGTAGGGAGAGGGTATGATGGAGTTTAACTTCTACTCTACTATTCATGCGTATCAGACTTATACTCTAAATTCGAGTTATTGCACTATGGCATTGTGCTGGGCAATGTTGAATATTTCTATTGTTGAGACTAAAAACGCATTTTTTCCAAATATTTTGGTACTAAATGTTGCGCAGAATAACGATCAAATGTGAAATATTCAAAGAATTTCTCACGTTGTTTGCGGAACAGGGCTGGATTACGGCACCAATTGTAAAGCATTTTGATAAGTTGATTGGAAGTATTGTATAGGTTTTCTTTGGGATATAATTCGGGGTAGACCAGTTTGTTGGGGGCAATGGGCATACAGCCACAATAGGTCGCCTCAAGCCTGAAATATATTCATTAATGCATTAATGAAATTAGATATAGTTTTTTTTTTGTACTTACATGGCTACTCCATAAAATTCATGGCCAGCAGTCGATATCACCACATCACCATCCAGCAGTGTCTTAACATATTTATCACGCGACAGGAAACCATAATTGATTAATTTTGAGCCCAGCTTATCCTGTAAACCCTCAAATGCCTCCGGTGAGGTGTGATACGTTTCACCACATATTGTAACTTTAAAATCCACCTGACGTTTATTTAACTCCAGCAACACCTCGACTAGTAATTTGGGATTTTTATCATGTTCCCAACGATGTGGCCATATTAGGTGAAGACAGTCATTTGCATTCTCTGTGGTCAGTGAGTTCATTTGTACATCACCGCCCACAATAAGGCGCTTATTTGGAAACGCATGGAACTTGATGGGGAAGTAGATTACTTCACATTTCTTTTCGATTTTCTCACGTAAATGTTTTAGTTTTAAGTCAGGTTGTATGTTCAGGAATGGCTGAATGTTATCCAGAAACGATGTGCGATTAAAATTTGAATTGAAAATTATATTGTCAGCCGCAAGACTAAATGGGGGAAGAGAAAAATGATAATATATTTAATGTTAAAGAATTATAATACATACCATGTCATTATTTGATTAAGACCATATTGACAATCTCTTTCTTTGACTTCCCGCACTGGATAAACCAATTGATTTTCATGGAAATATATGATTTTCTTGCAAACATTTAAATCAGGACGACAGCCCAATAGCTCAGCCAAGTTTAGTACAGATGATGAGAATAAAACTTTGTACTCATGATTTTGTGGAATCACTTGGGAAAAATACAATGCTCCTGTGCGGGCACGCCAATGCCATTTCTTTGCCGGAAGACTAAAAATTTCATAATCAGTCACATTTAGACCTGAAAAGGAAAATAGATTCTATTATTAAAGAAGTAACTCTTTTCTTAGTCACAGTGTTGTTTGAGGAATTATGGGAGAATATTTGGTACCATGGGTGTGAATTTCTGAGTCTATTTTAGGTCATTTCCTATATCGAGCTGCTTTAATAATCGTAAAGGAAGCCAGATTTAACAACTAGCACGTGCTTGGAACAACGATGCAGACAATAACAAGAGACTTTAAATTGGTAGGTGTCTCTGTGGAATTTGTAAAACCATGGTAGCTATAAATGAAGAAGTAGTTTCCATTTTTTTGTGCAAAAACATCTAGCGATGAGCATGTCTGGTTTGGAGTACAAATAACTATTGGCATTTATGTTGACCGTATGGAGTCGTGGCTACATAAAAACGGGAGTTGCACGTTCTTGTAGGGTATTGTAATATGCCTAAGTCATTTTGGCCTTTTAATGATTACACCGATTCAAACTGCATTCCAACACAGTCGTATTCCTGCATTCCAGCACCGTCATATACCAAGGCAAGAACAATCTGCACCTCCTTCCAATTATCCAACATACTATACACAACGTGGAATAGCCATGGCTTCATTGAGAAACACTTCAAATAACTTTAAGCCGCAAATGTGGCTTTCCAATCGGAATTTTTTGTGGGTATATTTAGTGAGATACACAGTTCATGCCTATGCGACCACAACTTACATTCGATCAGTGTATCAATTAACTGCTTATGGCTACCACCATAAAATGGTTCTATTATCAAAATAGAAGGCTTCGACATACTTTGACTTAGTATATTTATTGTAAAAAGTGTGTATAATTAATGAATTTATTAAACAAAATTACAAGAATTTCATTTATCCAGAGTACAAAGTCTACTTAATCAAAATGGAACGGCTCAACATTGTTTTGCTTATTTGACAAGGCGGGGAGCACATATGTTTTTCTCTGTTGGCGTCCTAAATGAAAACGTGTGGCAAAGTGCATTTGTAGAAGGGATTAATTATGTCTGATTGGAATGGATGAAATGAAGTGATGAAATATATCCATATTAGATATTTGTTTTTATCAACCACTACAAGTGACAGCAGAAAGCACATTCGTTGTTTTTCCCCTACCGTCTACTTTTTTACAATACTTTGGCAACCCTAACACATTTTAACCTAACATTTCATTTGACATTTGCATTGACCCATCGAAAAGGAGAAAAATCACGTACCATACTCATTTGCAAAACAAATTATATATATAAAAAAGTTGTGAAAATACAAAAGTATATAATTCAAAATGCCGGTAACTGTAATTAAATCTGAAGAGGAATACAAACAACTAATTGGGTATGTAATTTGTTGTTAAATTTGCTCGACAATTAAAACCTAAACTTGACCAATTCCTTTGCAGTGCCGACAAAACATCAGTGGTATTATTTTCGGCAGAATGGGCAGAACAATGCAAACAGGTTTTGGATGTATTGGAAGATCTGAGCAAATTATTAGGTGATAAATTGCAATTTATAACAATTACCGCCGAAGAATATCCCGAAGTGGCAATGAAACATCAGGTGGGTGATTTAATTTTTTACACACATCGCCTGAGTTATTAATGCGTTTGTTTTCATAACAGATTGAGGCTGTACCCACTGTAATCTTTTTCACCAAAGGAACGGCGGTAGATCGTGTTGATGGTGTAGATATCCCCTCACTTAGTGCAAAATGTAAAAAACTGGGTGCATCGGCCACAAGTGATCAACCCCTGGAGGAACGTCTGAAGGCACTGATAAATAAAGCACCTCTAATGATTTTCATGAAGGGTGATCGTGAAGCTCCCCGTTGTGGTTTTTCCAAGCAACTGATTGCTATTGTCAATGAAACTGGGTATGTAGGATGATATTACCGAATCCTTTTTAAAAGAGTTTGATATTAGAAACGTAAAACTGAATTACTGGATTCATTGATTCAAGGAATACTTCAGTAATTTCGCAACTTTTTTTACAGGCAATACCTAAATAATATATGTGGTGATTTGAAGGCCTTTTTTGTATAAAATTGTCAGAAACCTTTTATCATTCAAAATGGATCAGTGGTTTGGATTGCGAGCCAATAAAAAGTTTTTTTTTTTTTAATTTTGTCTGGCTATGCTAAACTATATTAGTTTGAAAGTTTCAAATTAAAAATCAATTATGGGCTACTAATGTGGAAGATAGACTTGTTTCTTAAGATCGCGAAATTTTTATAGATATTTTAAATGTTTATGATATGATCAAACATAAAGTTCTTGGCATTTTGCCTATTTCTGTTGCTGCCACACTTTATGAACTCAATTATAGGTTATGTTTACAAAATAAAAGTTTCCTGACAAGCCTGATACATTTACCCTTTGCAAATGTAAACCCAGAAATTTCCCTGGAAAGAATTCATGACGAATTTGCCATGTGGTGATAATTTATTTCATATTCTTTTGTTTAAACGTAATCAGCAACGCACAAACGACCTTTGACCAAAATATTTTAACAATCAAGATTTTTGATAGAAAATATTTTTGGCTTTTAAATTACGACAAAAATTTAAATATGCCAAATCTCTAATCTCTTCGATGTTCCTAATTTTTATGAAAATCCGTAACTAATTGTATTTACTCATTTCAGACTTCCCTATGAAACGTTTGACATCCTAACCGATGAAGAAGTACGTCAAGGTCTCAAAACATATTCCGATTGGCCAACATATCCCCAAGTATATGTTAAAGGAGAACTAGTTGGCGGTCTGGACATTATCAAAGAGCTCAAAGCCAACAACGAACTGGAAACTACTCTAAAAGGCTAATAAATGAAAAATAAAATACACGAGTAACATTCATTCAAATAAACAAACATGTGAGACTATTATTTTTTACAAAATAAATGGATTAAGATTAACTAAATATTGTTAGTAGTAAACTAATAGTAATTAAAACTTTTTAACTTAATATTCTATGTATTTTGCTGGACACTTTGATTCCGCCATTGTCCCTGGTTTGGCATATACAACAGACTTGTTGGTTAATTGTGCAAGCGCAGACTGCTAGTAAGGCCAAAATATACTATTGGCATATAAGGTTGGATGCGTTGCAATGGGTAAGACAAATATCCACGCGATGAAACCAACAAAATAACAGACAATTAAAAGGATGCGTTTCCACAGATGTTGCTGCCACAATTCCTGTATATCCGGCAGTCCCATGTGATTACAGAAGGCATGTACCAAAAATGGTGCTACGAAATGCCCTGTGCGTAGGAAGAGGTAAGCGGAGTAAAATCCAAATAGTGTTGTATATGTCAGTTGGGAGACTGAAAGAAAAAACAACATATACGAAAAGAAAACATTTTTAATTTAATTTGTTAAACACATTGTGTGGTCCCAGAGGTCAGGGTCTTGTGACACTTAAACAACTGTAAATCAAAGGTGAACGTCATAGTTTCTCTACAACTTACTTGATATTATTAAAGCTGTTGTAAATTCCATGCCCATACTTAGTCTCTCGACTATGTGATGTACATGAGCTACACCAAAAAATAATGGTGTAATGAACACAGCTGTAACTGGTGTAAAACTTTGAAGTATTAGTGGCATCATACAGGCACGGAACACAAACTCCTCACTCAATGGTGCCATTATGTGATTACGTATCCACAAAATATTCTTAAAAGAACTTTTCCAGAAATTTATATCTGTTGAAAAAGAAGGAAATTATCATTATTATTTTCACTTAGGAGCTTTAACACCTACCCATGAACACTTTCATTGTATCGTTTTGCAGCTCCACGCACAGTGGTCCCAAAAACAGCAACATTGTCAAGAGATAAGGAACAACAATGGCCATTAAAAGACCGTGCCACCGCAATCCAAGTAACTCATAAAATGGAATCTTTTCCAACAGTTCCTTGGATGAAAATTTATATACAAATATCGGTGTTATCAACATCACCACGGTCACACTAAGGAAACGTCTCTTGACTGTGGCCGGGTGATCACGATTGTGTTTATTGTTCCATATGTACAAACTTGACACATAAAGCACGGACATGGCCAGACAGCAGCTGACTGTTATTAGGGGAGAAATTCGAGGTACATCGTCAAATATGTAGTTGGGCTCCATTTTAGTTTCGTTTGTTTCATTCATGGTGGGGCAATAAATGTGCGATCGTGACCTATCTAAGCTACGTTTGTTATTGTCTAATTAAAACAAATATTTAATATAAACATATTTTACGATGAGAAAATGTCAATACGTCGACTATGAACTAACAAATTAATCGACTTTTAGAAAACATCGAGTCGAGGAAATCGATAACTCTCTTTTGCCGAAGTTGACATTTTACAGTTAGCGCCAAAATTGCTACGATAGAACTGAGTAGAGTAGGCATCATGGAACAAACGTGAAATTGGTATAGTGAACTTTTAAAACATATTAGGAATTCAAAAATGTGAATGAAAAATTATTAAAATTTTGATAAAATTTTTGAAAAACCCATATCAAAACAAGCTACAAAAAAATTTTTACATTCTTGCAGATTTTGGGGCTCAATTCTTGTATTACGAAAATTTAAAAATAAAACCTCCATAAAGTAAAGGTGAAAGTACATAAAAAGCTTGAAGTCATGGCTAAGCAATTTAATGTTCAATTATAATGGAAAACGACGGCAGGATTTTGGTGCGGCTATGTAATCCCTTTATAAAATGTCACAAATTATGCTATTAAGATTTGCTCCAAAGTCGCTTTGATGGAGCAGCTGTTATTTTACAAATGTTTTGATAGAAGCTGTTTACTTTTTGTAATTGAGAGAGAGAGAGAGAAAATATTTTTTTCTTAGTAACTTCTTCTTCAGCCTGTTTGTGTAACTATAGAAAAAATATTTGGGTTTTTGAAGAAAATGCTTTCAATATCAGTGACATAACCGCTAAAGCTTTTACTTCGCATTGCTTTTTTGGGATTTTGTAATAAGAAATACGAGAGAGATCATCAGAGAAAAAGAGAGAGGGAGAACAATTGGAAAATACCTATAATTTTTAACAAAAATTGGCCGTTTGTTACAGAATAACGCTAAAATTGTATGTGTATAATGGGAAATTAACATATGAACTGTTTTTACACAATAACAGTTCTGGAACATACCAAATATAGGCATTTGTTGGTAGAAGGTAATACTAATGTCACCAGAAAAATCATAAACAAAGAAAGACGAGTGCTCTGCTCCAGAACCTACAAGAATCCATGGTACAATGAAGAGAAGGTAGGTCAACTTTGAAAAAATTGCAAGTATAGAGGTCTACCTGTTTGGCTTGTAATGTCAGAATTAGTATCAAAACAATAAAAAATCAAACAACTTGTTGCATTTATTCTGAATAAATAATTGAAAACCTCGAAAACTGAATGAAAGTTCAACACTTCTTTTCAAAACCAGGTTCTATATATCTCTAAAGGATTATTTCGCTACAAAAACTCTAGATTTTGTCGATGCATACGATGAAATAAACATTTTGAAAACATCCGAATTTGAATGTTTTCTGAACATTTTTTTTGTTATTGAAAAGAAAACACATACATAAACAAATAAAGATGACATATTAAGCCAAGAAAATAAAAAAATTGAAATCATATGGTATCATAGCCCTACCTTGATATCATAGTACCATGCAAGAATCTATCAGTTTTGAAATTTTTTTCGATATCATAAAGTTAAAATCGGTTATCGTAGTAAAAACTTTTACGTTCTTGCAGTTCTGTAGTGGGATTCCTTAACTCATTTTTGAGTTACCGACAAAAATTAGTAACTTTCAGAGCCAAAATTTTGTTATAAAAATCAAATAAAAGGTTACAACATTAAAATCTATCGGCAGGTCTTAGAGACGACTTTCATTTCGTCGCTAGCTTACCGAAAATTTTCGTTAATTACCGAAATTATAAGCATTTGAATTTTACCGATTTTTTCGGTAACTCAGAAAATGAGTTACAGAATTCCACTACTGGTTCTTGTCAACAAAACGTATAGCGAAACGAAAATTGTTTTTTATGTTTTCAATATGTTTGTTCACGCTGACATATGCTCCTCATCTTACGCGATCAAGAAAATATATACTTCGTAGTATCTTAAATTATTATTTCAGTGGGTTTCAATCAGAACGACAAACTAATATGCCCACCATTACATTGTGAAGGGTATTAAAAATTATAAAAAAAAATCGATTTATCGATTAGCTATAAGTCGATTTTGATAGCCCTTCCCGTTGAGACCGACCGGCTGTTGATAACAAGTTGAACCGACTTTTTTCGTTCTTCAAAAGTTCAAAGTTCTTTTGCATAGAGTTGTTATTTATGAATATAGATTATCAATATTTTGCATTGAGAACACAAAACAAACTAAGGATTCTCTGACTGACGACATTTTGAGTACAATAATAACAAAATAAACATGATTAACATTGCTGCCCATACCCTGCGTAATACACTCAACAAAAAGGTTAGTTTTTTGTGGAAATATTTAAATTTTTTGAAAATGGAAATTAAAATTTCTCTATGGATCAATAAATAATATAGATCACAGCCTTGCAACAAGTACGTCATTTGAACTTATTGGAGTTCCAGAGTAAAGATCTCTTGCAAAAGTACAATGTGGCCATACAGCAATTCAAGGTGTTGGATAACTCAGGCAAAGATGCTGAAGTTTTGAAGCAATTTGGTAGGTTGTGTGTGTACGTTTATGTTGTAGGTTGTTAATTGGTATGTTTATTTTTTAATTTTGTTACAGAGTGTCCCGAATATGTTGTAAAGGCTCAAATTTTAGCCGGTGGTCGTGGCAAGGGTACCTTCGATAATGGCTTCAAAGGTGGTGTACACATAACCACAAAGTAAGTATGGCATGTGTGGTATTACTGGTAATAGGTGCTTGAATTGTGATAGTAGATTAAATGTAAATAGAGAACCTATAGAAGTATGTTGAGCATGTTATGGATTCAATGCTACAGACAGGCATAGTGACAGGCAAAATTAAAAACAAGACATGGTTATCCTTACTTCACACAAACAGGATCATGCAATAAGGGAAAACAAAGAGCTATCTTTTGAATCGTGGAAACACAAGGCACAGTCCATAAATATTTAAATGACAGCCCTACTGCTTGTGTCAGAATGGGTCGGATGATGTTTACTAACGCTTTAATTAACTAGGAAAGATGTATAACCATACGGTTGAACCTGTTTGAAATAAGGCCAAAGCTATATCTCATATAATTAAAAGGGTGGGTAGATATAGGCAAATTAATATTTAAAACAAATTTTTGATTGTTATTGCTAATTTTATAATTCAATTGATGACTTATAATTGTCTTAATCATAATAATATTGGCGAATCAGTATAATATGTATTTAATTCTTTTGTTATCTCTGTTTTCTGAACTTTGGACATCTTCATTTGAAAGAGCAACGACTTATAAAATAACAAATTCGGCAATACATATTCTGTTTGGAAGAATCGGTGTAGATACATCCATGTACTAAGTGTATTTACTTTGATGTCCGTCTGTGGAATTCACTATAGCTTTCGAAAAAAATGAAGTAGGATGTTAAAATTTTACTCAAATGTATATTATGCCTGCAGGACTTTTGGTATTGAAAATAGGCCATGTAGGTCCACGTTTAGGTATAGTCCCCATATAATGCTACCTCCCTTTTTCGGTATTTTTGTGATTTAAGCGACATTATTCACCGGAAAGGTTTCAAGTTTGGTATTTGAAGTACATAATGGATACTACAGTTTATGACAGAAAATTGTCCGTGCAGGTCCACGCCTTCGTATAGCCCCCATATAATGGTACCTCCCTATTTTCGTTATTTTGATGATTTAAGCGACATTATTCACAGGAAATGTTTCAAATTTGGTATTTGAAGATCGCAATGGATACTACAGCCTATGACAGAAATTTGTCTGTGCAGGTCCACGTCTTAGTATAGCCCCCACACAACGATACCTCCCTTTATTCGGTATTTTGATAATATTTGCGACATTATTCACCGGAATTGTTTCAAATTTGGTATTTGCAGTTCGAAATGGATACTACAGCCGTTGACAGAAAATTGATTGTGCAGGTCCACTCCTTCGTATAGCCCCCATATAACGGCAGCTCCCAAAACTCGGTATTTTGATAATATTTGCTACATTATTCACCGGAATTGTTTCAAATTTGGTATTTGAAGTTCGAAATGGATACTACAGCCGTTGACAGTAAATTGATAGCCCCCATTAAACGGAACCTTCCGATATTCGGTATTTTGATGATTTTAGCGACATTGTTCATCGGAATTGTTTCAAATTTTAGCTACGTTATTTACCGATTTTTTTCAAGTTTCGCATTTGAATATTGTAATGGCTTAGACACTAATATAACATTTACATTCGGCATTTTTAAGATTTTAATAGAATTTTTTATGAATTTAATTTATTTTTTGAAAATGGCCAAATTCGTTCCAAATGGTGGAGGGTATTCAGCTTTTTTACTTGTTTTTTATTGTTATTATAAATTTTATTGTTATAAATACTCTTATTGAAAGTATTCAAAACCAATAATAACCACTTACATTATTATTTATTTTTCCAGAAAAGATGAAGTCCTCGATTTGACCAAAAAGATGATTGGTAATCGTTTGATTACCAAACAAACACCAAAATCTGGTATTATGGTCAAGAAAGTCATGGTTGCACGCAGTGTGAATATTATTCGTGAAACCTATCTTTGCATTTTACTGGATCGTGAACACAATGGACCCGTACTGATTGCCTCACCTGCCGGCGGTGTTGACATTGAGGCTGTGGCTGAAGAAACCCCAGAGAAAATTCTTACAATTCCTTTGAACATTGACAAACCCATACCTCAGGAAACTTTAGAAAAAGTTGCTAAATTTTTGGAATTCAAGGGAAAATGCATTGAAACATGTGCTGAGGAGATTCAAAAACTTTTTACCTTATTTAAGGCTGTTGATGCAGTACAAATCGAAATTAATCCATTAGCTGAGACTGACAAAGGTGAGGTCATCTCTGTAGATGCCAAACTGAACTTTGATGATAATGCCCAGTATAGACAGAAGGAAATCTTTGCCATGGACATAAGTGAAGAGGAATCTGATCCAAGGGAAATTGAGGCAGCCAAACATAATCTCAATTATGTTGCCATGGATGGTAATATTGGTTGCTTGGTAAATGGAGCTGGTTTGGCCATGGCCACCATGGACATTATTAAGCTGAATGGCGGTGATCCAGCTAATTTCCTTGATGTTGGCGGTGGTGTCAAGGAAGATCAAGTGTTGAAGGCATTTGAAATTTTGACCTCAGATCCCAAAGTGAAAGGAATTTTGGTAAATGTTTTCGGTGGCATTGTCAATTGTGCAACAATTGCCAATGGTGTTGTGGCAGCTTCTAAGAAACTAAGTCTAAATGTACCTTTAGTTGTGCGCCTTGAAGGCACCAATGTCGATGAAGCTCGTCAAATTTTGAAAAATTCTGGTTTAGCTATACAAACGGCAACAGATTTGGACGATGCTGCCCAAAAAGCTGTTGCAGCTCTTAATTAAAGAATTCGTAAGGAAATTAAGGATTAGTTGTTATCCCGTTTTCGAAGTGTTCAGAAGACATATTAAAATATAGAAATTATGGTTTGAACCAGACGTGCATTTCCGTATGTTAAATTTTTTTCTTGTAGAAAATTAAAGGATCGCTATATTTTTCAATTAAAAGCAAAAGTAGAAGTTTCATATTAGATATACAATTTTTTGTTTGTTTTACACCCTTTACATTTATTTTGAAAATAAATTGAAAATATATTTTAAGGTAATTTGTTGTTTTTTATGTGCCTTTTTTACAAACAACCCGATAAGAAAGTGTTGTTTTTATGTAAGTAAATTCATGAATATGGATGTAATATAAAGCAATGCTTAACATTGCTTCGATTAGAAATAATGGGACAACTTTATAGAATTTCAAACTGCAGACTGCTTCATAGAAATTACAGTAGGGGTGTAGCTAGAGACAAAAACAGCTTTCGGAAAAGCTATTGACTTTGGAGCTTTTTAATGTCGCAAAACTGTTTGCAATGAATTTGTTTAGCCCACCATACTTTTAGAACAAACTATGAATTTTGGATAGACTTAAATTTTGTTATCCTTTATCTCAATGGGAAAGTTAACTACATTGCCATCTAGTGATATTTTTAGCAATTGTGGAGAGTTTTTTAGCATGTATTATAGGAAAAGCTTGCCTAGACTTACAGCTGGGAACAGATAATTTTTGATACATAAGACTAGGGATTTTTTAACATTATCTTCAAATGCTTTCTGAAATATTTGTAACAATTTAAAAACCCCGTTAAATTTGAATGAACTAAACTTTTTTGCACTCTCACCAAGAAAAATACTTAAAAGGCAAATATAAAACTCGACAATTATATATTATATATTTCTGCGGGCCCAATATGTCATAATAAGGCATAAGCAGCTGAAAATTTGGAATCGTTTAATATCGCGAAAAAAAATGAAAATTTTGGCAAAGTTAAATAAATGTGGTGCAGTACTGCCAAAATTTCATTTCAAAGCTCTATCCTAAATGTAGCGAAATATATCTATATCCCTTTGTCCCTTTGTATAGGTTCAAAACTATATAAGGGCTTTTACAACGTTTGGCCTTAGAACCCGAAACTGAGTTTGGGGTTTTGATTTAGTGAAGCCTTGATCTGACTACTCCACTTGGAATTTTCCACAATATTGGAATTGGATATTGTACATTGAGATGATAAGGATACTTGCAGAGAAGTGCATAAAGGAACTAATTTTTTTTTGATATAAACAATATTTTTTATTAACTAAAATTGATAATATTTTTATACTCTCCACCTTAGAAAGGAGGGTACATTAACATTGTCATTCCGTTTGTAACACCCCTTAATATTCATTGACCCCATAAAGATATTCGGATGGATGATTTGGATGATTTTCGCAACATTTTTTTTCACGGATTTGTCTAAAAATTGGTATTTGTTGGTGGGTTCTAGCTTCGTTGGCAAAACATTACCATTACATTACCTCCCGATATTCGGTATATTGATGATTTTAGCGACATCATCCACCAGAATGGTGTTAAACTTCGTATTTTAAGATCTTAATGGATACTACAACTATGACGAAAAATTGCATATGCAGGTCCACGATTTCGTATAGTCACCATATAACGATACCTCCCGATATTCGGTATTTTAATGATTTAGCGACGCTATTCACCGGAATTGTATCAAATGCCATATTTGAAGTTCCTAATGGGTACTACAGCCCATGATAGAAAATTGTCTAAGCAAGACCAACTCATCGTATAGCCCTCATATAACGGTACCCCCCCTATATTCCATATTTTTATAATTTTAGCTATTGATAATTTTGGCGACATAATTCATAGGAATTCTTTAAAATTTCTTATTTGAAGTTGGTAATGGGTACTACTGTCTATGACAGTAAATTGTCTATGCAGGTCCAGTTCTTGGTATGGCCCCTAAATATCCGTACCTCAATATATACGGTATTTTGATGATTTTAACTGAATTTTTCACGGATTCTATTTTTATACTCTACACCACATAGTGGTAAGGGTATTATGTCTTTGTGCATTTGTTTGTAACATGGAGAAGTATGCGAGATAGACTCATGAGGATCTTAATAGAATCTCTTTCTGAGTCGATTTATACATGTCAGTCCGTCCGTCCATCTTTCTATGTATTCTGGTGAACAAAATGCAGGTCGCATTTATTATTCGATAGAGATGAAATTTTCCAAAACATACTTGCTTGACCAAAGGACGAACCCTATTGAAATTGGTGATCATTGGATCAGATTTAGATAAGCTCCCATATACATATCTTCATCCGATTTCGGGTTAATGACCAAATGACCAAATGACATTCAACCGAATTCAGTCTACAAACAAGTACATAAAATTTGGTGAAAATCGGTTTAGATATAGCTATAGCTATGTATATGTTTCATCCGATTTGTTGTTTAAGTCCCTCACATACGTAATATGCACTCCACAAGGATGATATTTGGTACCGAAAATCAGACACTGCTCGAAAATACCTCTGTCAAATTTTATGGAGATCGGTTCAGATTAGGATAAAGCCGCCGTATATATCTTTATCCGATATCAGGTTTATCGTGCACCAAATGACTAATATCGGCCCAAATAGACTGAATTTTGGCCTTTACGACTGATTTCATTCTAGAACCCAGTATTTCAAATTTGGTGAAAATCGGTTTAGATATAGCTATAGCTCCTATATATATGTTTCATCCGATTTGGTGTTTAAGTCCTCACAACAATGATATTTGGTACCAGCCCAGAAATACCTCTGCTAAATTTTATAAAGATCGGTTCGGATTTGGATATATGTAGCTCCCATATATATCTTTAACCGATTTCGGGTTAATTATGCACCAAATGGTCAATAAAAGTCCAAATGACTTGAATTTTGGCACATCCCACCGAATTTATTCTAGAAGCAAGTACATAAAATTTGGAAAATCGGTTCAGATAAAGCTATAGCTCCCATATATATGTTTCATCCGATTCGGGATATGCATTCGGCAACAATGATGTTTGTTACCAGATATCTTATAGAGTTCGGAAATACCTTTACCAAATTTCATCGAGAACGGCTAAGATTTGGATATAGTTTCCATATATATCCTTAATCCGATTTCAGGTTTATTGTGCAAATAATGGCTAATATCAGCCCAAATGGAGTAAATTTCGGGACGTACGTTTCCATTTTGTGGAACTCGGCTCTGGTATATATTTTTTTAATATAATCCTTCTCGAAATCGATTCAGAATTGGATATGTTCCCTCAGAAACTAAACTATAACTGATCTAAAGCCAAAGGTTGACAGATGGTATGATGTACTGCAAAGAAATTCCGAATATAAATTCTTTTGTTACGGGAGCTCTACTTAATATGCATAGTGGTGTAGGGTATCATTTAGTCGGCCCCGCCCGACATTTGACTTTTCCTTTCTGGTTTTGATATGCAGTGGAAATAGAGATTTCTTTACTATGGAGATTTATAGTAAAATTCGATAAGAAATATTTTTGTCTTTTAGTATGTTCTAGAACACACAGTAGAATTTTATGACAAATAATTTTCTAGAATATTTGGACTTACTACGGTCCCGTTTAAAGGGAGTTTCTAAAAAAAGTTTTTAAAAAAAATCTAAAAAGACCCCTTTGCTGACACGCTTGAGGGCTAATTTTTTTTTATCAAAATAATTATTCTGATTTGATCTACAATATTGCCGAAGACACTATATAATAAAAAAAAGAATTAAAAAATTTCGAAGAGGTGATGCATAGTATTATTAATTGTCAATACGTATACGCATCGACGCACCAACTATTTAAAAGCATGGGAACTGCATAATTTACTCTTCGATAACATTACATTTTCCCCCACAATGCGTAAACGGCACTATAACGTAATGTGAAACCATTTCTATTACCCCTCACGACACAATTCAGCAAATTCTAGCAGTTTTGCATTCGCTCTCTCTTTCTCTCTCGCCATTAACTTACAGGCATTGACACAACACAAAGTTGATTGTCAATGCCAAGTGAGAGTCGTACCGTATCCTTTACTAATATCAGCAACAATAAAGACATGTTTGTGTGTCTGAGAACAAGAGAAGAGAACTAGTCGAAAATGTTGCCGTCTGTTGTTGCAACCAAAACATTGAAATGCAATTTTCAAGCAAAGCTGGTTTAAAAATAGCCAAAGGATTTTCGTTACGACTAGCGGCTGTGTGCAGTGCACGCACTTGTTTTCTGTTTTCCGACAGGTGAGTAAATGCAATTGAACCTGACCACGGATGCATGGATGCATGAATGAATGCATTCAAATGTCAACCGACAATAATAACATACCCACGGCTGTCCCTCTTTACCAGCTGAGTTCTACGTAAACGCTATACACATTGGTCATAGATGGCAATGTCCACCCCTCCTCCTTGGTGGTAGCAGGTTGAAGGACACAGCGATGTTGAGTATCAATGATAAACGAAGATGTTGGGTAAACTTACAAGCCACAATCATGCAAAACTAACACACATTCCGGACAACCTTCTTCTTCATAAGCAAAAAGGACAAGGAAAAAAGAAAAAAAGAAAGAAAGAAGCGTCTGTTGTCACTCGGTCTATTTAAAGAATCAGGTGTGCAGGCAGCAGTGTGCGTACTTGAACGGGAAGTAATAACGAACGAATGGCGACGACGAGGACAACAACAGCACGGCAAATGACTTTCCATTGAGTGGGATAAAGATGTGTACGTAGGAGCCAGTGCCAGTAATTGGAAACGTTTTGCATGGCAAGTCAAAGGGAATTACACTTGGCATTTTGCGTGTAAAGGATTTTGTGTAAGATACTCGAAACGATGCTAGCATTCAGGAGAATTGTAAATTGCAACATGTTATGCATAACCTGGACGGGTCTGTGTGTGTTCGTGTGTGGGTGTCGGCTCGGAAGGTTATTCATTCATTGAGAGCCATAGGCTATGAATCCAGTATTTTAACATTGACAATTGTGACATTGAAAACATACGTAAATGCATATGTTCCAGGAAGTGTTTACATGTGTTCACTTAAATAATAATTGGATAAAGGTGGAAGAAGTGTAGTACTTTTGTATGGGAGCTATTTGACCAAACTTTTGCAGGACAGCTTTGTATTTATTGTGAGTCCTTTTATTAAAACTTCAGTCGATTCATTTGGAAATAAGAGAAATACCTTTAATATTAAATGGGAGTA